GAATTCTCTAGCAAACCTGACTGATGAGGAGCTGGCTGCTGAGATTTCTGTGCCCATGGCAGCTGCTCCAGGGACAGCACAGCCACAGCCTCAGGGGGCACGCAAGGGAGGGCACACAGATCCTCTCCACCAAAGAGCTTGGAGTTAAAACAGCTCAAAGCCTGAAGGTTTTTGCACTGTCACATCCCCAAGGAGCCTCACACACCCCGGTGAGCTCCAAGCCACCACTGCACACAGCACTGACTCACTGCTGCCATGCTGGGATGGAGGCACAACTCTCACCAGTGCTGCCTCAAGCCAGAGTGGCCCCTGCTCCTCATCCCATCCCCAGCTCTGGGGGACAGCTGTGCAGCACATCTCACCATCATCCTCTGCAAAGAGCAGCAACTCTGCTCACAGGCCTTAAAGCCAGGAGCAAATCCCACTTTGTGAAAAAAATTCAGCTTTTCCTTGTGTGCCAACTCCCACCCTCTGGGACGGTAGTGGACAAAGGGAACCGAGGCACCACCACTCTGAAGTGGCAGAGGTGCATTGTGTCACCTTGGGGCAGCACTCAAACACTGCCTGCAACAACCAATGTCATCAACCTCATTTTACCTTCCCCGGCTGAAAGCACCAACATGTGCGTGTGGGTAATTTGTCACGCAGGCTGACTTTCGAGAAGATCCCTAATTAAGGGAGCAGAGTCTCCATGGAGAGGTGTTATGTAAGGGGCTTTACTTGCCATTAACTTCCACCGACCCAGGGAAGCCGAAACTCTTGGAGGTGAGGCAGAGCAACAGCACATGGGATTTTTATTTAGCAGATGAGAGAGGAGCGTTGCAGGACCAGTCCTCAGCGATTTCCTGCACTGTCACTCACTGGCTGTACCACAGGAGAGCCTGGCCCTGCTGCCATGCTGTAGGGAGGGACTGAGTGCTCATCCCTTCCCAAGGAGATGCACTCTGAGTGCCCAGGAGAACCAGCACCCAGCAGAGCACTCCCTGCTCTGGGGAAGGGAGCCCAAGGCAGCACCAGCAGGGCCTGGTGAGCCCAAGGCAGCACCAGCAGGGCCTGGTGAGCCCAAGGCAGCACCAGCAGGGCCTGGTGAGCCCAAGGCAGCACCAG